TATTCTATTCTATTCTATTCTATTCTATTCTATTCTATTCTATTCTAATTCTATTCTATTCTATTCTATTCTATTCTATTCTAATTCCATTCTATTCTTATTCCATTCTGTTCTTATTCCATTCCATTCGTCATATTTTTATAAGCCGTATTCATAAGCACTTTCAATGTTTTTTTAAATCAATGGCTGTTTCTTGAGGCTTAATGCAGGTAATGCTTAACTTATGGCCCCAAGTGAGCCCAGCATTTCCGTTGCTAAGCCAAGGAGTTTGTTAAGTGAGTTTTGCCCCATTTTATGACCTTTTTTTTTGCCACAGATGTTAAGTGAATTACAGCAGTTAAGAGAATCCTACGGTCATTAAGTGAATCTGGCTATTCAGGAGAAACCTCCTAACAGCCAGGGCCATAAACCAGTGGAACAGCTTGCCACCAGAAGTTGTGGCTGCTTCATCACTGGAGGTTTTTAGGACTGTTTGAAATGGCGTAGCATCTCCTGTTTGAAGCATGGGCTGGATAGAAGACCTCCAAAATCCCTTCCAGCTCTATTTCTGACTTGATTGATTGATTGATTGATTGATTTTGTTGGTCAGAAGCTAGCTGAGAAAGTTACAAAGGGCGATCACCTGACCCTAGGAGAGTGACATTGTCATAAATGCATGCTAGTTGCCAAGCGCCCGAATTTTGATCACATGACCACAGGGATGCTGCCATGGTTGTAAATACAAAAACCGGTCATAAGTTGCTTTTTTTCAGTGCCGCTGTAACTTTCAACTGTCATTAAAAGAATGGTTGAAGACTACCGTATACTATAACCTATGTCCCTTTAACTATCAAACAACAACATCTGCTTATCCCAGATCCTTTGGAAGGACTTGATAGAAGGTTAAAAATGCCAAATCCAGTATAAACATCTGGCTAACTATGTGACCAACCATAACACAACGATTGAAAGACATAAGATAGGTGGTAACAATGATGGATTCAAATAAGGCCAGCGTTGGAATACTGCATCCAGTTTTGGTCATCAAGATGTTAAAAAGATGTTGAGATTCTAGAAAGAGTGCAGAGAAGAGCAACCAAGATAATTTGGAGGACTGGAGGCTAAAACATTTGACGAATGGTTGCAGGAATTGGGTATGTCTAGTTGAATGAAAAGAAGGACCAGGGGAGACATGATAGCAAGTCTTCCAATATTTGAGGGCTGCCCCAGAGAGGAGGAAGGGGTCAAACTATTTTCCAAAGCACCTGAAGGCCAGACAAGGAACAATGGATGGAAACTGATCAGGGAGAGATTCAACCTGGAAATAAGGAGAAACTTTCTGACAGGGAGAACAATTCACCAATGGAAGAGCTTCTCTTCAGAAGTTAATGGGTGGAGGCTTTTAAGAAGAGATTAGACAACCATTTGCCTACAATGGTATAGGGTCTCTTGCCTGAGGAGGGGGTTGGACTAGATGACCTCCAAGGTCCCTTCCAACCCAGTTATTCTGTTAAAGCCTCTTAATAACTATAGCACTGGTATCAGAAAAAAAAAAATCACATCTGCAGGGTTCTGCAACTACTCACACCTCGCTCCTCAAACGCACCTGGGGAAAAAAAATAAAATCCATACTTCTGGAAATGGCCCGAATTTCCAATGCCTTTTAAAAGCAAGGACTTAAATCTTAACGTCCGCTGGGAAGGCAGCTCCAGGAGAGAATGTTCCATCCGCCGTAGCCAAGAAAATGTTTCCCAGTTGTGTGTGTGTGTCCGGGGGAGAGAGAGAGACGCATAAATTACAGAACTAATAGCCCGAATGCGTGACTAGCATAATTAGGGTCGGGTGATGTTATCGCTGATCAAGTAGCAAAGATAAAATGGAGGCAGAAATATATGCCTCCACGGTGGCCCTGAGCCAAAACTCTTGGGCTGCGTCTCAGCGTAATTATCTTCGTTCTTGTCTGTTTGCCTCTGAAAAACTCACAGGGAAGGGGCTTCATTAGCTATGTCGTGTTAATCCATGTCATGTTTTGTAAGGCTGACCCGTTGCTTGGAAAGAGGGGGAAATAGCCAGCATGCCCAATGGCTTAAATAGGCAGCTGTAGAAACCAATTGCCACCTTCGTAGTGTTCAATCCATCAGAGGTCTTCTAGTCCAACCCCCCCCCCCTGTTCAAGCAGGAGACCCTATGTGTGGTGTAGCAGTTAAAGAGTATAGACCGGGTTGAAATCTGCTGTTTGTCACAAAAGTTTACGGGGTAATTTTAGACCGGTCAAGGTGTGCGTGAGACTAACCTGTTTCACAAAATTGCTTCTCGGATAAAATTGGAAAAGGGGGCGGGAAGAGGAATCCTCGGTGCTCTCCGATCTTGGTGGTCTTCTTGCAGACGTTTCATGACCCAAACTAGGTCACGCCATCCTGAGCACTGATGATGTTACCTAGTTGGGTCATGAAACGTCTGCAAGAAAGCCACCAAGATCGGAAAGCACCAAGGCCCCCACAGTTCAACCGCGAGCTACAAAAATTCTGCTTTCTTGAAGAGGGAAATGTTACGAATGACCCCTTAAGCTCTTTGACATTTAACCCATCAATAGAAATAAAAAATTAACATTAAATCCAAATTTGTCTTTGAAGGTTTGGCTCAGTTCTATTTTTCAAAGAATTTCTTCCTGTGCACCGTTTTTTAATCTTTCTATTTCCATGCCCATCACTAACCGGCATATGAGTATTAGTTCCAAGAAAGAATTTGGAAAATCAAACATACTTTTCTGTCTACTGTAATCTGTATTACATGTCATTTTAAGAAAGCTGATTCAGCTCCAGGTATAAAAATAAATACAAATGCCTACACCTCAGATCAACCTATCCCAACCTGACACCTCTAATTTAATTAAAAGTTCCCTCTATAGACAACTGCATATAATTAAAATGCAATAAAACATCATTATTTGAAGCCTGTATCTATCGTTAGGAATGATAGGGGTGCTTTCGTAACACAAGAAACCCATTAAGGGGTTACTCTATTGAATACGGGTAGTCCTTGATTTACGACCATAACTGAGGCCAACATTTCTGTTGTTAAGCGAGACATTTGTTAAGTGAGTTTTGTCCCGTTTTACAACCTTTCTTGCCACAGGTTTTAAGTGAACCATCACACTTGTTAAGTTAGTAATCCCGTTGTTAAGTGAATCTGGTCAGGAAGTTGCAAAAGGGGAATCCCATGACCCCGGGACACTGCAATTGTCATAAATATGAGTCCGTTGCCAAGCATCTGAATTTGGATCCCGTGACTCCAGGGACGCTCCAACGGTGGTGTGAAAAATGGTCCTAAGTCGCTTATTTCGGTGCTGAGGTAACTTCCAGCGGTCACTAAGTGAACTGTGGTACGTTGGGGACTATCTGTGACTCCATTTTGGGATCTGCACAGTACAATTAACAATAACCTAACCCACTGGACTGCACACCATGAGTCAAACTGAGCACACGACATACATGTAGCCAAATCACCATGAAACGTACGCCCATAACTCCCAAGTTTTCAACTGGACAAAGAGACTGGACTGCCATTTGTCAGAAATGGCGTAGCGCCATGATGGTGAACCTATGGCACATGTGCCACAGGTGGCACGCAGAGCCATTTGTGCGGGCACGCACGCCACAGCGAAACTTACCTGCACTACGCATGCGTGTGTCTTCCAGCTGATTTTCGATCCATTTGAGGCCTTTTTTGGCCTCCCATAGGGAAGCCTCTGCAGCCTCGGGAGGCCGAAAAACGGGCCTTCTGGAAATACCAGAAGTGCTGAAACCGGCCCCTTTTCAGCCTCCAGAGGCTTCCCTTGACCCTCTGGGAGGGCGAAAACAGCCTCCCCTGGGCTCCAGAGGCCCCCCGGAGGCTGAAAATGGGCACTACCGATATTTCCTGAAGGCCTCTTTTTCAGTCTCCCAAGGCTGCATAGGTTTCCCTCGAGCCTCCGAGAGGGCAAAAATGGCCTCAAACAGGCCAAAAATCAGCTGGGAGACATGTGCAGTGCAGGTAAGGGGGTGGGGCGGGGGTGCATTGCATTGTGGGTGCTGGTGTGCGCACGCTTTCGG